GTATGAATGGAATTTAGTTTTAATGCTAACGAGCAACACGAATCGTATGAGCTTAGCACATATGTTCGTATAAATCTACAGATTATTATAGGTATATTTTAATATTATAATAATTAATTATTTTCGTAGTATCTAGCAGAGTAGGACTATACCTATCTAAGTTAATGTCTCTTGAACAATCTCAGTACCAATGAAATTTTAGACATAACGTCATCTATTATCAAAATACAAGAGGTATCGCATCTCAACAGTCTTATATAACAGCTTAAAGACTGCTAGAATTCAAAAGCAGATTAACAGAGCGGAACACGCTCATTCGCTACATCGGTCCCTAAAAACATCCGATGTCATTTATCTTATTGCACTCTGATGGTATGACTTACGTACGAAACTAAAATGGAAACAAAGGCACACCGGCGCGTTACAAACGTCGAAATAGAACTACTGGCTTAAATATACACCTATTAATGAACAATAAAAACAGATCACTCGGTATGCTCCTCTCACGCAGAATATGCGAAATTTCCAGAGTAATGTAAGGAAAAAGTAATGTTGAGCCATCTTCCTTACCTATAAATATAAGTCGCTGTTTTGGCAGAGAACGCACTACATATATAAGTAGATTGGAGAGTGGATAAAGTGAAAGCACTAAAGCCAGATTAGGATCTCACAATACAAAATGCGCCGGACTACGGTACATTACGTCGCGCAATACTTCCTATGACGATATAGTTATCATTATAACTTGATGATAAAAATAGCTAATGTAGGACGCATAGAGTAAAGATCAGCTATGGCGCGCGCGCGTCACTACCCCACCATCAAGTCGGACTATGTCAAGCGGCACCCACATACAAGACTAGACAAAACGAGCATGCCTCCATCACACTGAACACATACAACAACACACGGCACGGCGCACAGTTACATCAACGTGTGTGTACAAATCGAGTGCAACGTGCTTAACATATTATATTTAATGTTTTACTATTGTGACAATCTTGGATGTTTATATCCAGCCATATTTTCTTTAATTGATTTTAACTTTCGATATTTTGTTGGAAAATATTAATATATCCAAAATGTCCTGTAAGATCAGCTTTATCATTGACCTATCTTGACCTTGATTTGCAAGATAACCACTATGTTAAATGAACTGCATTGTTTTTTATGCACGAAAGTTTTAAAAGTTAAGGTTTTGCTGCCATCAAACCCTTATATTTTTCATCTCATGTTGCGATGTGTTGAAGTGTGTGGCAGTCATGATTTTGCAAAGTTAAGGTGTTGACGAAAACTAATAACAGAAAATATGGAATTACTGGATTCACCATAAAAATATCAATGAAATACATTGCATCATGACATTGTTCTGTATTTTCAATATATAATGCAATGAACTGTATCTAGGTTTTCCTATTGTTGTATCACGTTTTTCCTCATGGCAGAATTCATCATAACCAATGCTCTTTCATCCAATTCGAGTAGCACTCTCTCTCACCTAATGACACACACTTTCAGAAGCACAGGGACTCCCATAGAAAAATATCACCTTGTTTCCCTGATTTTAACTAAAAGGGTACCTTCAATATGTAGGGAAAGTGGGTAAAGGGCTTACTACTCCCATATTGCTAACCCATCTCAGTGCATTCTGCTCCCTCTGGTGCACATCCTTCCTCTAGTGCTCTCCCCTTTCCCTATAGCACCTCCCTCCCCTACTACTCTCTCCTCCCCCTAGTTCAGTGTTGTCCACACTGGGGTCTGCAACATGGATCATAAGGGTGCCTGAACAAAGAAAACAAACACACATAACCCCCCCCAAAAAAAAAAAAAAAAAAAAAATCACATGTTCTATGAATCATCTTTTATATATTCGTGTAGTAAACTTGAATTTATTGACCAACACTCCTGCAACGCAGTCTTTTCATAATTAGCATATTATTTGCATTATCCTAAATAAAACAGTTTGTTTAGCCTTGGTAGACAGGGGGGGGGTACGTAACAGCACAAGAAGGTAATAAAGGGTACAATAGGAAAAAATGTTTGCACAACACTGCTCTAGTTCACTCTTCCTACCTTAGTGCATCTTCTTCCTCTAGTTCACTCCTCTAACCCTAATGCACCTCCTTTGCCTAGAGCTCACCCCTCCCTTCCCCTCTCCCCTACTCCTCTCTCCTCCCCCTATTGCACCTCCTTCCCCAAGTGCACTCGCCTCACATCTAATTCACTCCTCTTCCCCTAGTGCACTCCCCTTCTACCCCCCCCCCCCCCCCCCTCCCCTGTATATTTCATACCCTATCTAATATTGATGTAATTTGCATGACACTAATTGTTCCTCACTGCATTTTCAACTACAAATTCTCCAAACCATCAATTCATCAATTCACATTCTAAGATCTAACAAAATTACAAAACACAAGTATATGCAGAAAATCACATTTCATATGCATAAACCCAATCAAACGAGGGAACCATAAATAAAAGAAATATTACCCGGAATACA